GAAGTTTAATCTAAATGGCACTGAAGTCCCAGGAGATCTAGATATAGCGCTCAGTACTAATAATAAATATTGATTCCTTTTACAGAGTTCTAAGTTGTTGGACAAATTTTCACTAATCGCCTAGTCAAAATGGCACTGAAGCAACATTCCACGGATGATGGTTATAAGTGAACGAGCAATCTAAGGTTATAATACACTATACCTGGTTTGGTTTTCTATCTAAAAAAAAAATCATTCGATTTTCAGAAAAGGGATCACAACACTTCAAACAGGGGCCACAAAACAGTTTCCTTTCACCTTTACTGACCACGAGACGGCAGAACCTGTAGAAAGCTTTCAACGATAAGATGGGTGTCTTCATACGACATACTGCTGCCGATTTAGGCAAAAATAAGTTTTATTTAGACGCCAAAATTGTGATTCTAAGCTTACGCTTCCGATTACATAGAAATACTGGTTGCAGCTCGTGCATAGATGATATTTTTTAATTTAGAATGTTACCATGTGTTTATTGTATAATGTGAATAACTGTCGTATGCGTGTACTTCTAGCTCAACTCTAATAACATGTGTTCTCGTGCTTTAAAATTGCCGGTGGGATGCAACCATCTTCACCAATTGACGACCCGTTATTTTTGTCACTTTTCCCATTTTATTCATATTGTGGAACAACAGGTAAACATGTCGATCAGCCCGATTTAGCTAGACGTTGTCTTACAAGGACTCAAAACCCAACGATCCTACCTTTTACCAAACTGCCCACCGCACTGACAATTTGTCTGCATCGTGGATATACAAAAACATAGTAGACAGTAGCTGTATACCTTTCCCCAATTCCATACTCGAAGTGAGGACAGCTCTCGTAGAAGTTCCTCTTCGGTGCAGCTTTTGAGCTTCTCGATGAGTATGGCGCAGTCTGAAGGCTGGAAATACATAAGAAAACGCAAATGAGACCCTATTGAAAAATTACCTGCATAATGCATCTGCATAATGAGTTTTCTAAAATTGACTGATTAAGAGATATTAAACGTTAAAGACAAAAATATCGAGCTTTAGTTTACCCACCTTTCAGCTAAACGTCTTCAGTTCTGAATTTTATAAGAGACGAAGCAGTTTCTCAATGTATTTAGTTGCCATTTCTAACAAAAGGATAGAGAGTTACATACCCAAAGTACTTTTAACTTATAGTAATTTTATGAGTAGGGTTGAATTTTATTAAGTTATGCTGTAGTTAAAAGATCACAAATGTTCATAGGAGAGTTTGGTAGTCGTCTACTTCGAGCGAACTCCGAACACAAGTATCTACTCCATTTTAAAAGACCACTTTCCAACTGGACTATGCAGATGTTTGGGTTCATAATTAAAAATGAATTTCTTAAATAAATCAGTGAAATTCTCAGGCAACACTATGACATATGAAATTCAGTCAAGCTGCTTTATTTTTTAGCGTCACAACAGAAGCTTTATTAACTGGATGAGACAGATCGAAACGGCTAGCTGACGGCATCCCCAGTCCAGACAATCACCAGTCCCAAAACGACATGAATCGTTCAGGCTTGTTTTCTTTGGTATTTTCATATTACTTGTCTCAAAAGTTGTATCTCTCTGGATGAGGTGCCTAAGGCGCGATGGCATGGCGAAACCCGAATCAATCCTGATGACCAATACATATATATCACATACATCCTGACTAATACATAACAGTATATGTATTATTAATTATTAATCTTGTAATTTAAGTTTATCTCGTTGCCAGAAGCTATACTACTAACAAATCTGTATTGAGCAGGCAATGGCGCTGCGTCACCTTGTATCGCCGGTATCGCGAAAACGGTATCGCTAATTCGAATTTGACCGTACGAGAAACGGAAGTGCGACTATAAAATTTTAAAAGCGATTTATTTTCAGTTGTGGTTCAGCAATAATATGTAGATATCGAAAAAATGTTCAGTACTGAGTTTTTTCATTAAGGAACGCCTCTATCATTTGGAAACAGACAAAAATAAACAAATCGATCAAAAATATACAATGAGTAATGACCTAAGCAAATTTGATTTAACTCCTTTTAATTTTTTAATTTAAGTGCCCTCTACCTGTTCCCACGTATGCAAAAAACGGTAAAAGGCTGGGACATCCTGTTTGGTTCAATACTACTAAAGTACTCAACTGTGCCTCACAAATATATTATATATCACACATTTAACGTAATTTCAGATTGCACTGCTTTGGTTCCACGTTGTAACGGAAATCTCTTTGCCACAAAAACGATATCCAAGTGAATCGGCTGAAAGCTAATTTCGCTTATGCGTGAATGCTCATGTATGCGTAAATCTAAGACTCGTGCCAGTAGTGCCGCAGTAGCTTGGATGGTTACGCCTCTAGCTGAGAGAGATGAAAAATCGCTGCTTTAAGTCCCGCTAATGACATGCTACACACAATGTGTAAATAAATAGATTTTTAGATATGAAAATGGATGTTGTTGATAATATATCAAGTTAAAGGCATTTCTCCATTTATGTGCATAGCCGAATATAAACTCAATTTCTCCAGGCTTTCCGTTGGCCAAAGATGTAGAGATGAAAGCGAATTTTTAAAGCAATGTAGTCTGTTGTTTTAGATCTGAATGCTGCTACCACTATCAAATACCAGTTTTGCATTGGCGAGGGTCAATAGTAACAACATTTCACAATAACAATTCTCACTTTCCTAATTTTCTTGTAAACAGATTTGGCCTGACATTAAACAATGAACGAGGTGTACTTCTCGAAAGTACTATGGCTACTGTCAACTCCGCAAGACACCCCTTCAAAACAAGGTGGTTTCTATTTTTTTTAGTTTGGCAAGACACCCCTTCATGTTAACCATATATTAGTTCAAATGCATTTTTATACATCTACAAGTATAGTACTTTGCGTATGTAGGGCTTGCACATTTAATTATGGTAACAATTGTTTCGCCATTAAGAAAGCTTCGCAAGGATTCAAGCAAATGATAATCAAGCAAGAAAAACAATAAAAAAAATAAGAAAAAAAAAAATTGAAAAAAGAAAAAGGCAGAACACATTCAGACTTAAATGATTTTTTTAACGCCATGAAAGTCACATGCAAAAAAAGGTAAATCTAACAGAGGCTTTTCACAGAGTTAACCCAAACGATACCGTCCTTATGCACTAGAAGCTCAAGCCTGACCGATCGATTCCAATACTAACAGAGTGGAGAGAGAATTGGCGAACAGGGAAACGCTACCTATGACTCAACTTTTTATGATGGTCATTTTTCAGTTTTATAGGCGGCTTCAAATACCTATCATTAAGTACCTTAATACCTGAAGTTAATATGAAGAAGCAAGATATTAATTTCGTTTACTTTGATTGATGATGAAGAATGAGCCCAACCTCTTACACTATGAGTGGGGTTCCATTAACAAAAGCACCCGAGTCTAGAAGCTCGTTTTGTAAGGTTAGCGAAATGCACTCAAACTAGTAACTACTGAAGCTTCATACAAGCGATATATCTTTTCAATATGAGTCGCTTTATTGCTTTAAAGAAAAACTATTTCAAACAAGGCTGCGGCCGCGGCTAGGAATCGGATTAAGGCTCGACTTCAGATAGTTAAGACTTCACTGTCACTGTGTATTAGAAATCAATTATTTGCTACCAAGATCTCATTTGTCGGGGACGAATCAAATAAAACCAAAGATTTAACATATTTAATATTGTCTTCAAAAGTCGCCTACGCTATAAAGTTCTATTAATTTTATTATCGGCTCTCTATAGAGTTCACGTGATTTTCAAGGCTTATGAGTAATTAGTTCGTGCTTGCTGTGCCTTTTTTCATGAAATACGGCCTCAAGGGAACCCATTTTACTAACATGTGAAAACCAAGCTTCGCAATAATCAGGAGTAAAAAAACGCTCCGAAAAGCAAGTAATACAAGATAATTTCTAAATGAAATCTATGGCATAGGCCTCTGGTGGATGTGCTGGCACTATGAAGTGGGTGCAAGACTGAACCTTACGAAGTACGTCTTTCGCCTCTTCTCGTAAATAATGATCATCGGACTGCGGTACTTGATAATCGGACCCCATAACTCCATTTGACTACTTTTCATGAGCCTTCATTACAAAGATAACAGAATCAGTCTCGCAAATCTCTATATGAACTTTTTGAGTCCCTCCCCCAACAATTTCTAAAACAGTGAGGTAAAAAAAATAGGCTTGCATAAAAAATGGATAACACTAACAGTTATATTACCTGTCAATACAAAGATATGTTTATGCTTGCTTATGAATTTGCATGACCGTAGAAAAAATGCCGGACGTTGAAATACTTGTAAGTATGCTTCATGGGTTTCGATGCATGTGCTTCCATCAATATATCAATTTATAGAGGCCAATACGATTTCGATAACATTGGATAGATATTGGTTTGACTGGACAGACTGAATAGATAGCAGTTTTCAAACAGAGCGAAATATACGAACTTCTCACCTTTTTGAAACTGTTTGGCCAAACTCTAAAAATGACAATTTTTACATTTTGAAAACCAGGCATGTAATATACGGCGTCACCGTACTAGGGTCTTATATTTGTATAAAAAAAAATTATCGACAAAATTAAACATTTTAGGTTGTCACGGTCCTTGTCAAAATAAGTGAACCTAGTTTTTAGTTTATAATCCTAAGAATAATGTATACGCGGATGGCATTGTATCAAAAATGGCTCTTCTGTATTAAAAGCAAATTACAATAAAGAGCGCAGTTCTTAGCTCAAAATACCAGCCGACGGCTGAAAAATTATTTCTTAAATGCAAGGTGATGTTTTGATAACACATTCACCTATACTCATCAGCAAAACATTGCCTTATTACATTTTCTAAATGTACAAAGTCACATCCTACTTTATTTTTTCATTTATCGATTTGAAACTGGATCAGTTAAATCCGTCGATTCATACAATATCAAAGTTCTTTATGCTAAGTTAAACGCCTTCAGTCAAATTAAGAATTACGTAGTACATGAAGCTCCTGTATGTCCTGCACATAGTTTTTCTTAGATTTTTGTTAGTGCGGGAAAGACAATGTATTAATTAAATATCCTGAGAGCTGATTCTTGCATGATATTTATGCGAAAACCTGATGCCCTAAATCGCAACTCAATGGCATAAACATTATAATATAAACCTATACCTGCGCCATAATGATGGAACCCAATAGGTATTCCCCAAAGCTTTTTTTGTGCATCTTAGATGTATATATATTACACCAAACCACAAACACAACATGATAACTTACCACCTCTGAGGCGCCCTTCTTGAGTTTGCCCCTTTCAATTTTCATGTCTATGTCTTTCCCTTCTAAGTCCAAATTGGTGTGTTAGCTGTAAGCACACCGCTATCCGACGGAGCAAACGTTGTTGCGTTATTTTAATCTGATGACTGTAGACCACTCATCACCTCATCTCGACTGCCTTTCTTCTCAGACAGACAACGCCAAACGCCTTTGGCTCAACACCAGCAAAATGGCTTCAGTGTGCCGCGACTTGGGGGCCGGGTGACCAGCATGCCCCCGTCCCCAACGGCCAAGTCCCTGAGAACGGCAACTCGTCTATTCCCTATTAGTGATACAGTAACACAATTCAAGCTAGTGATACACGGTAGCGACGTCGTCAATATCCAACCGCAGTTAGTGCCTCAGCGACAAGTAACAGTCTTCCTTCGACAGTTCGATCGCACTTAAACCCTGGTGTCGGCCCTTCCACAGGTCGTGCGTTGCACCAAGTTCGTCGTCACCTCCACCTTACGGATCTTCTCCGCCGAAGGGTCAACTGAACCACGTTTTTCTGATAATAAGTCGGCCACTTCCAGCCGAACTAGACAAATGTAGTTGCACACTAGTAACTCGGTATATGTCTAATGGCAGCAAGCTATGCGTAGTCTGCCAGTTGCTGCTTGCAAAACCTACGACACCAGCAGTGGTGCTGTTGGCTGATAGATACAGATCAGAGCTACGTGCGCCAAGCTGCGCTAAGGTTTAAACATTATGGGGGCACCCGGATACCATATTAGCTGGCAGATTCAATTATATTTTGCATATTTTCAAACACTGCTGGATCATGCTGACAATTAAAGTAATGGTGAGCTATAAAACTAAGAAGTGAAAATAATATGACCTATCCTAGTCTTGGCTGTAAGTCAGTACCGTAAATGCAGCTGCTCCCGGAATTAGATGATGATAGGGCACTACTAGCTCTTGGCGTTTCGCGCTCAAATCGACAGGTGTGAAAATTCACTGTTCCTATTTAGTCAAGATTTATCCTCGGATAGCTAGTAGACCATTCGCCGTTTTAATTTGTGAACGATAAAATGAGCGTATTTTTTTTACAATATTTTCCAGAAGCTGGATAATCAGCGAAAAAAATTGAACGGTTATAATTAGAAACCGCCATATTTTAAAAATCGCCATTTTGTAACGTCTGCTGCGCTGTTGTTGTGAGTCGGCGAATCTCCACTCGAAGAATATCTCGTTCCGAAAGGAAGAGAAGTTGTTGTCATCCCTTATATAAGTTGTGTGTCAGTTCAGTACTTATTCATTTTCGAGATCGCTGTATCTTGCTACACGTATTAGGTTTAATAGTAGTAACGTTTTAAATTGCGTAACGCATTAAGTAAGTGATGTGTTTTTTACATAATGATGCTCCTACATGTTATTTCTATAATAGAGTTTCAAACGCGAAAACTATTTTGAACGGGTACAATTTAATTTACATAATGTATATTTCTTAACTTAAAGTAGATTTTTTTCCTTTAAAATTTAGTCTTTAGAAGTCAGTAATCAAATATTATTTAATAAATAAATATATTTATTAAATAATGCAAGACAGATTTAGTAATCATTTTGGGTTGTGTACCGAATTTGCTTTCTTTAAATTGAACCGAACGAACATAACGTATTATAAAAGATTGCACTATAAGGCTGTTAGGTCGTCAGCCGGAGCAAAAGCGTACCGATAAATGCTTATGAAAATTACACAAAGTGTTCGCTTATATTAGGAATGTGTAAAGTAATAATAATTAGGAATTGTAAAATTATAGTATTATGTATCGCTATGATTAATAATAATCAATGTTATTATTATCATCAGAACAAATACCGATTTCCAGAATCCTTACATACAAAATTATCTTTCTCAATAAGTAGTAATAATGATCACAACTTATGTTTGCCGAGGCTTGTTCAGTTTACGTAGATATATACAGTCGTGTTATAACATTGCCTTCTTTGTTTTTTATCTCAGACATAAATGTAAAAAATGTTAGATGCGCATTCGTTCTGAATAATACTGGTAGAAAGATGGATTTTTATATTTGTTTGTCAATGTTCAACCTTGTCATCTCAAAGTAGTTACTCTTTTAGTCGTTTTTTTTTATTTTTGCATTGACCGTGCAACTTGTGATCGTTTTGTTAGGAAAGTCTATCATAGATTAGGATCGTGATATAAGATTACATGTATATTTTGTATCACATTGTTAGTTTCGAAGGCTCTCATCTTTTTATATTAATCTAAAAACACATCAATGTGTTTTTTATCTATACTATTGCCTTAAACTTATATTAACAATCGCATGTACCGTCACTACCATTAGAAGTTCAATCCAAAGTTCGTAAATCTCCTATTCTATTTGTTCTCGACAATTTCGTTCCCAACGCGAATTTACTTTTTTACAGGATGACTTCTATCGGCACTGGTTACGATCTTTCTGCCGCTCAGTTTTCTCCTGATGGGCGCGTATTTCAAATAGAATATGCACTCAAGGTAATTTTAATGAGTAATAAATAAATCGCGCATTTAAAGATTCAACTAATTTTACCGGTATTACCTGATATTTAGTATCTTGAAGCATAAATAACATAAGAGTGCCAATAAATAGCGTATGAGCGCCCGTCACTACTATATTGTTTTGAAAATTAGATTTAGAATTTGTTTCGTTTTAAGTGAAATTTCTCGAATTGTTCTACAGATTATCTGGCATGTCATTCGTACTGCTGAAGTCGACACATAAAGCATCCACGTGCAATTTTTTTTATCTGGGACTTGTAGTGCTAACTTGTTCAAAGTTCAGTATGCTCGAGTAACGACCTCATTCGCACGAGCACTTCGAGTGCTTATTTACAAGTTTAACACGTTAAGCAGCATTCGTTTTTCAAAGCGTTCAAGAAGAAACTTATAACCTATGAACATAAGCGTGGAGAATTGCTTTGTATGGGCGCTCAAATTCTAAGAAACCATTCTGTGTAAATATGTACTAATTGCTTTTAAAGGCGTTTATTTTCTATAGTATAAGTCAATTATACTTACTGTAAAAAACATCTGCGAATTCGAAAGTCTGTAAACTTTTTTAAGGATATGATTTTTGTGTTGCAGGCTGTTGAAAACTCTGGAACAGCAATTGCGCTCCGTGGCAAAGATGGTGTCGTGTTCGCAGTAGAAAAACTTGTTACGTCCAAGCTCTATGAAAAGGCAATATAATTTTCTTTTATTATGTTGGTTCCTTCCATTGGTTTTCTGTCCCTTTTTGGCTAACATAAATTTACAAGATATATTAGTATCACATACTGTTTCGCTGAGCTTCTCATCGGTGCTTAAAGCAGATATTACTTCACTAGCTATATCTGGAAGTACTATTTAGTTGAACTTCATCTGTCTTAGATATATATATATTTAATATAAGTGTTCATATAAAAAGGAGTTCAAAGGTAAGAATAATTTCCTTATAAATTATGCAATCTGATATGATCGCATTTTGCAGATTGTGAGTGTTCCTAGAGTTACTTGTGCACGGTGAGGTCAAACTAAAGCACATGTATTATAAAATACAATTATTTTTTTAGGGAGCTAATAAACGCTTGTTCACAGTGGATCGACATGTAGGAATAGCCGTGGCTGGTTTGCTAGCTGACGCTAAACAAGTGGTTGAAAACGCTGCGCGGGAGGCCTCAAACTACAGGTATGAGGAGAGCAAATGTATATGCAGGTTTATTTAATTATTTTTAAGCGCACTCATATAAAATAGTTTATCATGTCAAGATCTTATACAAATTATTTGTTTACATTCGTGTAATATAATTTTTTCATGTTGTCGCTAGTCTTGCTGACGTGGAATCAAAAAACACACAAGGTGATTCTCAATGGCGACTTTATACATCTCATTTAAATCGTAAATTTGTGAGAAAGTCGTATTTGAAATGGTTCTGATTTACCTATTCTTGCTCACAATTGTCTCTAGCTACTTTTAAATTCCTACGACAAGAAAGCACTCGATAAAATTCGTGTATCATGTTATTCCATAATACGATTGTAATATATGGAAAATGGGGCGTCGTCGGAAAGAATATTTCTTGTTTATACGTCCACAAAAAAGCCTCGACAATTTAAGCATTTTAGATTTAGTTTGTCTGTGTATCACAAGTTTTTATTAGCAAACGAGCTCTAAATAGAATAGTTTTTAAAAAAGAAAACGGAGTTGGAATACATGAATACCACTTCATATTAACTACGTGCAAATCAAGTGGTATTTGCAAAGCTAGAAAATGTTTTTTTTTTACCTAATTCGTTACGCACGCATTTTTTTTTTATAGTTGTCTGATTTTACTGACTACACATTTATAGAACATATGTATCTCTGTGGATGACATTATATTAGGTCGGAATATGGCACACCAGTTCCTTTATCGTATTTGAAGGACCGGGTAGCCTTATACGTGCATGCGTATACGTTATACTCGGCAATCCGACCGTATGGTGCTGCAGCTCTCTTTGGCGCTTATGACGTGCAAGAAAAGCAAGCACGACTTTACTGCGTAGAGCCATCAGGCACTTGTTACGGGTACGTTTTAAAATAACATCGTATTAGGTAAAATTCTTTATTCTACTAGGGCGTATCCCTCTATGATTTTCAGTATAGAGCGTGACTGAAGCCTCTTCCTTTTTCTTATCGCAGTTTTGAATATGTTGTTTAAGAAGGTCAAAAAGTCTGTCTCTAAAAGCAGGTTCAAATGTGGAGTTATTAGTACATTATTACAGTGAGTAAAACGAAACTTATGAGGCCCAATACACAAGTATGATACATACAATAACTCTACCTCAGTACTTCAACAGTCCATAACAATAACTCCATTGCTAAATCTGTAAATACATGATCGCATTGCTTTTTATCTTGCTTGTGAGATCGAAGTTACTAAAATTAATGTTGTACAGAATGATCGCTTTAAATTGCGACAAACTTTGTCGTGTTATTTATCATAGTGGACATATGTACCATAAGAAGACCAGTTCCCTTTAAAACAAAGCCTAAAGCTCATTATGACGCAGGCAGAATATTTATCGTTATAATATGAGTGAAGGTCAATTATTGTCGAATAGTAATAAGTAAAAAAAAAGGCATTTTTGCCCAAAGACGACGTTTTACGTAATTGTCGATTTCCATGCGAATTTCAAAAAGTCTGAGGAAGATTTACATGAGGCCAAGCAGAAGATCCTCAATTGGATACGAAAAAAAAAAGCTAAAAAATTAACGAAATGTTGCGAAGAGCCAATTCTTATGATTTTAAATTTCAGCGCAAAATAGCGGTTATTTTTAAGAAAAGAGTGTCTGCTGTTATTCGAGTCGTCCATATAAGCTCCAGCAATTTGAACCCTTTTTTTCTGGGGCCCTTGGCCTACAACCATTCTGCAACCAAATATCAATTCTGCCGGACCATTCTGTGTGGAGCCTATTTAAGCAACACTTTAATGGGTTTTTACTTTTGCGCTCAATTACTATTGAAACGTTGTTCGCGGATTGGAGAAGGAATATTTAGAGAAAGACTAGTGAGTCCTTTAGGTTCCAAATTAAAGTTAGAGTAAAGTAAATAGAAATTATATCGATTAAACAAGACTATCATGATTTACATTTTTATTTCGTCCTTAGAATTTATCAAAATATTTGTTTTCGCAATAACAGCCTTTTTTTGAGTCTTTTTTGTCCCAATTTGAGCCAACTACACTGTATATGCTGTTGAAGGAAAAAAGTCAAATAAATTTTTCTTAAAGACATGCGTACATTGTATATAAGCCGATCCGTTTATAACTGAAATATATAAAAATATATATTAAAAAATTAAAATATACAAATTAAAAAGTGTAGTAACCTCTTATATAAAACAGACTAATACGAAGAGAATACCACCCCGATCCATGCACTTCTTTTGCACTTTGATCTATACTTTACTCTGTAATGCTCATTTACGTTCCGGATTTTCCATATGCCTGGTTTCTAGGATTGTAGTTAAACAAAAGCAGATGTCTCAACTAAATTTTTACATGGGCTAGAGGTGTCGCTTTTGATAATCATGTTTATTTAACAAAACTATTATTCAATATGATTACACTTTTAATTCGGGGTCTAAGCTGCTCACAAAAGTGTTTTAAATACTCCTTCTGCAAACGTAAAGGAGCATTTTTTAAAGTACGAATGAGTAAGCAACAATGTCACGCCTAGGTTTGTTCGACTCCCGCTTTATGACGGTCCATACATAGCAATTTAGCGGATTTAGAAGGGTATAATACAGTGGGCATATGTGTTCGTCCCAGAATATGTCCACATTCTTGAGCTGTCTATTCGGCGCTAACGGTTTAGTATAAACCAATAAACATATATTATCTTCCTTTAAACTTTTTGCTATTCATGGTCGTACAACAATTTGTAGATAGTGATGGTATATTTCTTTGATGGTATGTTATTCTTTTAAGAAAAAATACAAAACGAAGATTTTTTTTACAGGACATCTCTATCAAAACATGGCTATTGACAGGAAAATTGCTTTTACCTATAATGTTGAATCACGAGCACTTCTGCGATTGATTTTTGCATCCATGATATGTGTTTCAGTCAAAGACGAGTCGAAAATGCTAGAGCCGGCAACATCGATTAAATCTCTTAATTTTATTGACTCCAAAGTATATTTGTGAGTTTTATGGCATATGACGTGTAATTGAAGTTTTCGTGAATAATTCCTGACATGGTAGGCCTACCTATAGAAAGTGTTTTTGTGAACGACCTAATAGAAAGAGAACGATCGTCAAAAATGTACTTCTAGTGACTCCATGTTGTGGATTTTCCGTTATATTGTGTTGGAATTTGCTTCCGCGTTTTCTGCTCCCGAATGTGCACTTGCGATATCATACACTTAATGAATGTAACGGGTAATCCAAGAACTGTACTAACTCGTTGACGTTTTATTTAGTGCGAAGAGATTTGACAATAGCTGATCTTCACGCATAATGCAAAAGCGATCACTGACTTCCGCCATCATGAGGCTGCGGTTTAGTTTTAGAAAATACTGGCTTTTTTTAACATTATAAACGGTTAATTAACCCCTAGATCTTAAGACAAACAGCATGGCAATGTTTACCTGAAACTAGACGGATCATTCTGAGATCATCCGGAGAATATTTAATTTCGAGTCTGTATATAATTCTGTATCCCGGTTGTACTAAGTCAATTAGTTCAGGGAAATTAGAATATCTGACTCTAATACAACAATCCGTAAATGTATTGAAGTTAACTTGAATGTGTAATCAATATAAATTTTCATATAATTTACAATAGCGCAGTTTGCTTCAAAGCGTGTGAGGGCTGTGTTCATGCTTCAAAGTGTGAACCAGTTTGCGATAATGTGCATTATTTTATAACGCGGGCCATTTTTAGGTATTATGGTTGCGCAATCGGTAAAGCCAAACAGACCGCAAAAACTGAGATGGAGAAAATCAAGCTGGCCGAGATGACATGTCGACAGCTTGTAAAGGAGGCGGCTAAAATTATTTATGTAGTCCACGATGAGGTAAGTATATGCATGCTCCTGTCAAATAAAGAAAAATTATTCATTTTCGAGATGTAGTTTTTCAATGCGCACCAACTAAAAACAGGGTTGGAGTGAATGCTGGCCACACAATCTTGAAATATGATTTATAAATTCAGGGTATCTCTGAGTAATCGTCAATTATGGGTGCAAGATGTAAAGTAATTGTCTAGTAACAACTAGGCTTCAATTAAAACTATTTTACGTCAATTAGTCACCTTCGTTGGGTTTAATGTACATGTGCCACCGTTTTTCTGGTCGCTAGGTCAGGCTTTAAAGATGTTTTTTAGATTTTCTCTATTGTAAGATTTCTCCTTTAAGGTATTTTTGATACTTTAAAGACTTTGATCTGGTAAGTACTTATTAGATTTGATAATAGATTTCTCGCAGTTATCTCGATGGAACAGAAAACACCATATTTTTTATTCTTGTAACTTGCAAGTTATGTATCTTCCATCACTGTTCATAATTTTTTCTCATCTTTCCGCTAAATGATATAGGCTGTTTCACTAAAGGGCAGCGGGTTTTTTCTCGAAGAGGTCTTCCAACCACTTCCATCAACTACTTTCAGTTGATCCGTATCGAAGGTAAGGCTGCGAAAGCGAGTGCCCAATGAACGGGAAGGGTGAAAATCCGTCGGCCCAAGGTTTGAATATGGAAAGTGCATAACGTCCCGTTTAAAATCCAGGAAGACAGCTTTGACGATTTTTGCCGTGTGTAACTTCATATTATCATTGAGTAGGGTAACCTAACCTTGTCTGTTTGGCCCTTTATTTTAAATGGTTTAGTTGACTCAGTGCAACTGGACCAAATAAGCGTAGCTTTCAACCACCTGGTTTGTAATAAGTTCCAATGAATTAGGCCCTTGTAGCTCCCATAAGCGCGAACCATAGTCTCTTCCGAGTGAAGATCCAGTCGGAACGTAGATCCTTCAAAAATGTTTTCAGGCAATCTGAATCGAATTCGGTTAGCCGGAACGTGGGTGTATCTTACAGGTCCTAAAAACAAAATTTGGCAAATCATTTGTCTTGGCGGGGGCTTCGTGCTCAGAAAATGATTAGTACAGAAAGTGTATGAGCTAACCCTTGATACTTGTCGATTGTGTTTTTATCGTTACGTTACATCAGTATCTTACGTCTCATTCTTCCGTAATGACCCGTTGAACCAAACATATAACGTTCTTTTGACGGAGCTGATTTTGCTAGAAATTTAGGTCCTTCGGCGTAATCCTTGCTGTGAACCGTCTTGCCTCCAAATTATCCTCCCAAAAAAGAATGTGCAGGGATTTCGCTGCACTTCCAAACGACAAATGTTCGTGAGTAGTAGTGTGTTTATTATTACGGGGCTTGGTTGCTTGACCACGTCACTAATAGGGTTTACTTATAATCTTTCACTGGAAGCTGCCGCTGGCTGACGACGTTATGATTATCAAATTGTTGTCCACGTGCTTGTTGGTTTGCTAAGAGGTATCAGACAGTCAAACAATATGACTGACATTCAGTCAATCACTTGGACTCCCAGATATCCTATGTTGTACACCTGCATCAGACGCCGCACACAGGGTGTTTTAAGAATAGTAGTCAAAATTTTTAGGAATGGTAGAGCTCGATAAATATTGTTCCTTATAGGAATATAAGCGCCTACGCATTATTTCACTGTAGAACATTAACATGTATATGAAAGCGACATAACACATATATACTTGTGCTTTATTGGAGAGTTTTCCAAAAGATTTCATTTTAAAGCAAAAATATCATGCGTATAGGGTCAAAAGCTTTTAACCAGAGACAAAAGAACAAAGGCTCCGCTATCTCTGTAGCATGAATATAAAAAAAGGACTCATAAAAATTACAATTCTGAAAAAGAAAGCTTAATTTTGCGTGAAGTTTCAGATAGGTAGTTTTTCACGAGTGGAAAAATTGGTAATTATTCAAATTTATTTATTTTATTATGAAACTGTCGCAAGGCGATTTGCTCATTTTAACCATAGTAAATACAATAGGTTTCCTTATTGCCGATTCGCAAATACATAATGTTAAAAAATGAAAATCATACCTGGTGAATTTATTCCTGAAGTTCACGTTCTTTACTTAGAACATGTTTACTGCATAAATCCCAATTGCGTTATTTAACTCAGAACATATTCTACCAATGTATGTCTAAGCAAAACTGTACTTCTACAGAGTTATTATCTTGCTCCTTGCACAGATCAGCGTCGCTTGCGAAGGTCATGAATGCACCATTTGTTATTTGCTTTGCGTCCAACGCGTACTTTATGCAAGCATTTTTTGATTATGTATGCTGCTATATTATGAGCAATAGGTTGCTGTAAATCTCGATAAAAATTGGTATGTATTAGAATATAAATCGTGCTCGATGAAATTAAAGCATACGTAAACGAACTACGTCAACAGATTAATATAAATCGAGAATTCCAAACTAGTATGTCATAACGTCATCGTTGCAAACTCATTATTATTTTTGCATATGAATTACGGTAAACTATACGAGCTTTCCAGACAGTGAATTTACAACAGTTTAAATTACGTGTTTACACACATCAATCTTTACACTATTGTTTACTGAGAAAGTACTTAACGTTCCTCCTTTGCATGGATTTAATTTAAGGTCAAAGATAAAGACTTCGAATTGGAATTGAGCTGGGTATGTGAGGAGACAAACGGATTTCACCAATTTGTACCGCCAGAGGTAGGTTTTATTTTGGTGAACTGTGTTCAAGGAGAACCGCTAGTTCTGTGTACGTCCTACAATGTTGTGTTATTTATGGTTTTTACATAACTTAAAAAAGTAATTATGTACTGGTATTCATTGAATTATATTTCTTTTTATTTATTTTTGATATACTCGTGTTGCTTTAACATTACAGGTTTTGGCCGAAGCGGAGCATTTTGCCAAGCAAGCGATGGAGGAGGATTCTGATCAAGGAGAAGATTAAAAAACCTTACAATATCTCAAAAGTAACCGCGAGTTTTGAATCTAATGCGTTTTAAGTTGAAAACAAGTTTTCAATAAAAGGAGGGAATATTTTAAAAAAAGGCGAAATCAAACTTTCTGTGAGAATAAAATAGAATTTAAGATTGGCGGTTTAATATAAAAAGTTTTTGTTCCTTCTGAGTATATAAAGAAGTTGAAGTTCTATCATATGTAGCTTTTGCTAATAAAAACATTTCCATATCACAAGGTATATGATACATGATTTTGAAATTAGCCTTTCCCTTCCTTCTAGGCTGTTATTAGCCTAAAATAGAAGTTTTTTGATGCAATACAGTTCGCTTAAATTCATTGACTTTTCATGGTAATGAACGATGGGCCTTCAAAAACTCGGTTTTTCGCCCTTCCGAAAGAAACTTAAAATGTACCAGCACCGATAGACACCTGCGCTTTTTTCTTCATTAAAATCGATCTGTCGCTGAATATTTAATGCCTGTTCTGGCCAAAAGAAGTCAATGCGACACCACGGATCACGTCCATTGGGTTCTCATAAAATAATGAGACCTGACGCCGCTACTAATATTAACCGTCGTCATAAGGTCTGCTTTTATTGGCACCTCTGACCCATGAAGTCCTGCCTCTTTTGCTGATTTGAAAGCAAATACCCTTATCAGTGCTCAGACATGTAGATGATCTTTCACTCCCGGTCTCTTCAACCGTTTTCTGCAAGCGAGCAGATTTGTTAGTTTTAGGTTTTGTTGACATAATAGTTCAATTTTTCCACAGGTTTGGTGAGATATGTCCTTCTCTGCTATTTATCTAATTGCGTTGGAATAGGCTTGCACGCTGCAATCGAACTCTGCCCGTGTATGAATAGGCTAGACCACCTCCATGTTTCGAGCTTTCGTTTTGTCGCCGTTAGGCATTTCATAGGATGGCTGGCCCCCAGCACGAAATGAGGTATCTCTGTGCCTGGGATCGGACTTAAACCACTAGCGTGTACCTTAGGTCAGCAGGCATTACCCACTAGGTTATCACCGGGACTAACTAAATTTACAATGTCATGTACTATAATCGTTGATTTCATTACAAAAGGACAACTAAATTATTTTGAACAAGCCCTAACCGGACTATATATTTTGGTGTAGCTGCCATTTACTTTTTTAATCGCAAGTCATACATAATTTTTATTTTTTTCTCTTAAACAGCTCTAAATTGAGACGCGAGTGTTATGTATTTTTTTACCTTTTAGCAAAGCAAGTTGTATGGTGCTGAAAAATTATCAAAATAAATGTTCATGTCTTAAAAACAAAGCACTTAAATAATCATTGCGTGTTATGGACTATAAAATTGATATAGACTATAAGAGCCATATTGTATACCCAACCTGCATAGATAACATATAAAATCTCAAAAGTAGTCGACAGTCTTGTTGTTTTAGGTTATTTGCGTAGATGGAAAATAAAGTAGTTGACTTAGACAAAAAAACTATTTTTGATTAAGCAGTTAATGAGAAGTACAATTTAAAAAAAAAAACGACAGTAGCGTTTAATATAGATGACAAGAAATAAAAAAAACATTTAAAGCTGCCGAAAATTTGATCGGCTGAGCATATGTTGATGATAAAATTTAGTAAGATAGAATAAGATAATATAGTTATAACGCAGAGATATCGCACGATCATATGGACCAGTGGGTGGTAGCTCTAGCAATTTATTTTTTGTTGGGACATAACCCAAACCGTAGGAAAGAAAGCAAATTTCAGGAAGTTATTGAGGCTGCATAACGAGAGAAAAGTATTGCGCTAACATGCGGCGAGAAATTCTGATATATTAAAATTAGTCATTCAGCGATGCAGCGCAAAGAAAGCCTTGACAAACTAAGGAGAAAACGGGCCACTTCAAGTTTTGAGAACAGAGTTTAAAAGCTACGTGTTCTTCGCATTCGGAATTTTTGGCGACGACCGACGTTTGCATCTTACAGACATGGCATGAAACTTTCTTACTAGAGCGGGCCTGTGGCTTACATAAAATCTTAAGTGCAGGGTCACCAGAGTAAATTTTCTTGGTGTTTTTCTACTGGTCTCTTGTAATTTTGCGAATGCGCTTTTCCGAAGCCGATCTTTTAGTTTCGGATGAAACCTCACTTCAGAAAAAGTAAGCAAGCTCACAACCAGCAGCAGAACAATGCAACAAAAACTCAAGCAACCCAACCAATTTATTTTTTTCCAATATATGTAACTCCTATTTTAACAAACCAGCCGGCCTGTCGCTACATTCTTAATCTCTTTAAGTCGTTTGTTCCTTTTTATATAAGCCACAGTATCATCAGTTGACATACATAATAAATTATGGCATTGGGTTTATTTCATTAGGTATGTCAGGTTCAGGTGCGTCACTTCGATTTAGCAGAACTGACCTTACGGGAGATTGTTTTATTTAGACCTGTGTACTTCTTCGCGTCATTGCTGAAAAAACCAGTGAGCACAAACATTAGAGGAAAAACTACATAGTAATCAATATATTTAAAATAAAAAAACATAGGCGCGAACATTAATATAGTCAATACTATGGCTACAAGTTATATTGTAATAACCATTTTGTTACTCTCAATTAGCCGATTGAAAATTCATACGCGCTCATTACAGACACATAATAATAGATTTATAATAAACTATTGTAGTTGCATAGGGCCTAAACACTAACAGTAAATACTAGCGTCTAAAAAAAATCCTATCTATCTATCAAGTGACCATGTATAACCTTGCGTTGGTTTGTATATTGTACAGAACAAAGTATTGTAAAGATATTTAGGTTGCTATAAATACTTACGCGCTCATTTTAGCCTTGTTTCTACAACCTTTACCGCCTTCCCAGTGAGCTGTTCGTTTTCCAGTAATAAAATTACTGCACTGTAAGCATGGTTTATCGTTCGAAAATGGCTGTTCTTTGGCGCAAAAACCACAAATCATGCGGGAGGCAAATTCAGCAGTGTGGTCGCTCTCCTGTTCGTTATGACAGTCATCACATGGATATGCTTTCCCGCAGCATGGGAATCTGAAAAAAGGATTGCTTATTTTTTAGCTCAGTATTCTTAATTAGCAGATTAAGCTATCTACACATGAAATTAAATTGCTTATTAAATTTTGGATCTAAATTGCAAAAAGATTCAGTTCGCTTTATGCTTTGCTTCTAAGTTCAGAGCTAGAAAGTCTCTCAGCTTTGTTTACAGAATAATCACTAAGAACTACTGTGTCACTGTTGAAAAGCTAACAAACTGTCCTTTAAGATACTTTTTATCGTCAGGTAGTTCCGCGTATTGCAGTTCCTTGTTGCTAACTTGGACCTTCATTTTATTATCAAAGCTTAACCTGTGCCTTATTTAAATCTCAGGTAATATAAATGAACATTCGAAGCCGATTTCTTTTTAAGACACGTGGTACTTGCGATTTCGCTTCATTTGTGTGTTTATCTAATGTGTTATTTGCTATTTAATGCTCTTAGTTTAGGGAGCGCTATAGACTTACCTAAACCATCGGAAACTCTTCTTATAGTGCTTACAAATGCCTTTGTTGGGAAGTGGTTTGCCTGCTTGGATAGCACTATCTTTATTTGCTTTTTTGACTTGCGAAGCTTTGATGTTGGCGTCGATAGCACACATGTCTATGAACTTGATCGAGTCGATTATGAGCTGCATCTTGATGCCGCATGTTAAACAATTAGACGACACACGTTGACCCATATGAATTCCTTCAAATGGGTTCAATTTTAAGCAGCTTTGGCAATCTGCGTAAAAGTGGCAACGAGGTAACGCAACATCTCTTACTGTACAATCATCCAACTCGAGATAACCAACAACTGGGTTGAACTGTAATAATATACATGGCCGAAAACACGCCTCTAGCTTTGTTTGACACCTTGCGCAAGAGGTTACTGCGCGTCGTGCAGGGAACAACTGGAAATCGGCAATCTTCTTGCATTTCTTACATTGAACCGATATGAAAAAGCGATCGCAAATTAAGAACGACACCGACTCCGAAAGATCAACGTGTCGAAACTTAATTTCAATGCCCTTACGCACCGCGGAATGGGGATCGTAGTTGTTTAGAATTTTAGCTAGTTGGTTGCTATTCATTGCTCTCTGATCTGATGAAGGAACTTTTGCAGTAATACCTGAAAAAAAAAAAAAAGCGGTGGCATATTTCATTTTAAGGGTAAAAGAGTTGAGAATGGTTGTTTTCTAATGAGATATACCCTGGTCTACATATAGTTAAGCCGCTGACCTTCGGCCCTGGAGTTACCAGCTGCATGAAACACTCTTCCAGTTCCAGCAGTCGTGCATGTGTTTGAGGTAAGGTTTTTAAAGTGCTTTCTTTTTCGGTCGTTTCTGTCTCAGTCCTCGGCTCCTAGCCCTTTTCTTTTACGAAATCTTCAGTGGTAGCAGACGTCTCAGTCTGCTGAACGGACTTGGAATCTACAAAAAGGACCGCGGGATGTTCTTAAAGTCCTATCTTCCGAAGGCTTTTGAGAAAGATCTCCTGAAAATTGCTGTCTATACGTCGTAAAAATTGTCGAAAGCAAAGGCCTGGCTTGTAGAAGAAGCTTATCCATTTTGCTGCTGCATTTTCGATACCCTTTTCGAGAAATGAGAAAGGGATATCATCAGGATTAATTGCAACTATAACGGAAGAATTCGGTGAAGAAAAATGTACCTGCAACAAAAAACACGAGAAGCATTAATCATTAAAGTGTTCCTCTTTGAAGGCTTTGCTAACAACAAGTTGGATTCTATTTTGCATGGCGAGGAGAATAATTTTTGGAGACTCCGCATTGCCGGATCATTAGTACAGGCGAAAGTGCCGATCATAACCCCAGATGCTGTCTCGTAGATGAAAAGTTGTAAGCTACGTCACCAAAGATTACACAAAAAAGGTGAGTGCTGGAACTGCGAAGATACGACCGGCTATAGGGCAAACTCTTTCGAATATTCACTCTATAGACAATAGAGTCTGATGCACTAGAAATTGAAGAAAAAACAGGAGTATTGAAAGTCAATGAGCCCAACATATGTTGGCTCATGTTCAAAAAAAAGCTAAGGCCACTTCAACGGCGAGAATGGCGATGCTCTAATATGGATTATACCAATTCTGACGGTACACGACAGGGCTAGGTCTACGCAAAAGTACAGAACGGTCCGATTACATCTAGGTACTACATGTCACCAAATACAAGCTTGGTATACTTTAAAGACTCTTTAGATGACGCAGATAAACAAAGAAAAAGACGAATATCATTAGTGAAGGGGATTTAAACGAGTATCGGAATGGAAGAGCAAAAACTATTGGGAGAGACCATAAACCGGCACAGTGACGGCTAAAAATATATTTGAGTGTGGGGAGGAAATATCTTTTATAAACCTCATATTCGGCGGGGATGAGATAAATGAGATGTTGGGAAATTGGAAGATGCTTAAAGGGGGCATTAGTAGTGAATATACCTCGATAAGCTAAGAGTACGGAGAAACGTCACAATAGAGATCCCGCTGGCATATACTCGCTGACAAGAAAGATGCGCCAGCCAACTGGACATGGAAAAGCTCAGGATGGAAAGAAACTAGGGGGGTGCGAAAATGTTTCTTTTTTTTACAGAAAGAACATTTTACACAAGTAGATAAAACAAATAAAAAAAAAAGATACACTATAGAAAAAAATAACGTTTTCTTTGTGTGTACCCAAGTTGCCTTATGTTCGTAGTTTATACTGTATAATTTACTATTGCTTAGACAGCAAAGTAGGAGGGTAGGACGATATTTAAAACAGATTCTATGTTGAAACTTACCTAAAATTAAATTCTTAGGCACCTATTTAAAAGAACGTACTTAGAAAGCCCGTAAAAGTCTTGTTGAATTATTTTCTTCTTTTTGACAAATACGTTAAAATGTTTTCTAACTCTCAGTAGTCTTTAGATTGTTGGCCTCATAATCATCTTTATTAAAAGCGGTCAGAGTAGATCAGATTATTAATCTAAGCCTAATCTGACCTAAGATAAATTAATCGACTAGGGGAAAATATTCAGTATTATCCAATATTATAAGTAATAAGGATTACTTTAAAGGTGTTTTCAGTGTAATACAAACCTTTAAATGTAAATGTTTTACATCAAAGGGCTAATCAGGAATTGATGGACTGAAGGTGAATTCGAATGTACCTCCACTATTTTCTTTGGCTTTAAGAAGGCGCTTAGGCCAGCCTTAGTTAATCGAGACTAACACAGTTCTTCGGTCGTAAATTCTTTCTTAGGTAATTCAACTACTCGTTCCTCCTTAACATTACTCATCTTGGACTAATGTTGAACTCATTATGTACCACCTAGAACGGCTGCTGGTCCTTTTTCCCATACCCTAAATTTCTTAAGCAGAATCCTGTGAACGGTTGCTTATACCGATTTTAGCTTTCGCGATCCAAAAACTCAAATGAAATTTATAGAAAGCTTGTTGACCATACTTTTACTTCCGCTTCGATCCTTGGGTCTACCGAAACATCGGTTGCATAATTGTTTTCCATTTTGATCGAGTAGAACCTTTTTTGTTTATTGGAGGCTTATGGCTTGTTGTGTATTCCTCTTAATATATCTTGTACTTCCCTACTTGCGACATATCGCCCTGAAATCTGCCATCGTTATGTGCTCGCAGTAGTTGAGAATGTACTATGTTTCTTACGGTCCCCTGTAAAACTTGCTTATGGTTGTCCCTCTATGCCTGCCGTTCATTGCTTTTGTGTTCTGATCTAAAAGGGTCGTTTTGCGAATATCGGTCTTTGCCGAAATCTCGAGGAGTGGAGGGATCAGGTTCTCTGTTAACACTCTGTCCACTCTGCTTCCTTCGTGCTCCTTTTAGTGATTGGTGAATTTCATTATTTCTTGTACCTGAAACGTAATAATCTACTTCGTTTTTATCTCTCTGAGGTCTGACTCTGTGATCTCGTTACTTTAATGCATCATAATTACTGCTAAGAAGCGGACGATAGTGAATCTTCACGACTAAATATAGTTCCATAGAGTTTCAACCATTTCAAAATGGGAAATATCGACAAATAAGCGAATGGGACGCACGTGAATTATACTAATAAGAATGCTGATCGTTGACTAAGCTTGTTTATTTTCTATTTATCCGCCAGTCTCTGGGGAAGCCCTTTAATGAATATATAAAGTATATTTTTATTATAAATTCACCTGGATAGTCTGTGCACATAAATATAAATTCTCATTTGCGGCCTGAAACTGGTAGTACATTGAAATACACAACTTTTATTATAGATGAAACTATAAATAGATACTAGCATATTAATACGTAAGTATGGCAAACTTCCTATTTGGTATTGTTGGACCGTCTTGTCTTTATTACGGCTACCGAGGATGACACCTTGTTCCTCCTTAACTTCACTGGTTGGCTTAGGTTATGTCGCTACTTTACAATTACATTAGGCCGAACAGCAAACTTTATATAAAAGTATACTATTAATATTAGACAACATTATTTGAAGTTGCTATGAGACAGAAGGACAGCCAATAATCAAGGACAAGCTAGGATAGACTTGAGGTACGTTCGTAGCTGTATAGTTAGTCTTAATGCGCACTGACAAGCATTTAAGCCTGTAGCTATAGTATCTCTCGGTACTGCTAGCGTCACTTTAATATAACCCACTGACAACATACAACATTTTTTTAAATGTGTGAAGGACGTGTTCGCGCAAGCAGACGACTGTTTATGCTGTACTCAGTTTTCATATACCTACACGGCAACTTCTGTTGTAAGACATAACTCTAATAACAAATGATTTTCATTAGGGCCTAGGTTGGACTACAAAGAAATGTTACTAATATATTTGTTGTTATAGCTGCCACAGCCATAGTTAATGTAGTTAAATAAGTTAACATAATCACTTTTTCGATCCCATCGATTAGTTGGTATTTATCAAAAATTCTTATTAAAGGTTTTTTAGATAGATTTTTAATACATATTCTTTATCTCTATACGCTGTCAGAAATGAAATACAACGAGTTTTTGTGGCAATACAATGCAGCATTGTGTTCTAAACGTCCAACAAAACAGTTCTTTCATTTTTTAAAAAAAAATTTCATTTTGGACTTCACCTACGTTTTACGAATATCACCGTAGCTGACGACGTTTCCCTTAAATCTGGTTTTTGTCACGAACATACAAAAAGTATCTCTTTTTATTTCAGGAAAACGAACTTCAACAACTATAAAATACAGCTGGAACCTCTGTTAACAACAACTAATCGAGTGCTGGGAGATGCAGTGCGATGCGGCTGTCGCAGGAATGAAGGCCAATACTTTCTATGTAACAACAGTTTAAAAAAGGAGGTAACATCCGGTTACATTATTTTTTTAAATGTCGGATTTTTTTTACAAATATTATTGGGACCGAAAGGTTGTTTTTTTTTTGATGGTACACATGTAACTTGTTTGCCTGCTAAACTTAGGAGCCCTTGGAATTGTTTAGGTGTGATATCGATTACAGATACGCTTCGTTTCGGGATTAGATGACTGCTGCCGCCCAACGTAATATTGCGATTGTATCAAAAGAGCACGTTTTTACTTCTGTGAACCTTTCGCCTGCGCAGTTAACCAACCCGCGTTTTATAATCTGCATTTCTCAGTATTAATAATCTATTAACGTGATTTTCTTTTATTTAATTAAAAAACATATA